TGGACATAAGTCCAAGTTTATTATGAAAATGTTTCAAGTTTCAAAACAAGAAGAGTTTTTAAAAGGAGAGAGAAGATTTTTGAAATTAAAGAAAATGGGAGGAGAAGAAGAGACTACCCTAAAACATAAGGTAAAAGCTAGGGATAAGAACCATCTAACCAACAAGAAGCCAATACTTGACATTATGAGTCAATATAGAATTATTTCTTTGGATTGATACCAAGCAAGCAAAGATACTAGACCTCTTGAGAGAACCAAACTTCAAGTGTATTAAATCTTCGCAAAAATTGGGCAGAGTAGCGGCTGTATGCGGGTGAATTCCAAATTACAAACAAAGTATGTAATCACAAATAACCTGCACACAAAACAAACAAACAACCCAATGTCTTGAGGTAAACCTCAAGAACTCCAGACAAAATATCAAATAAAGTCACAAAGTCTCCAAGATAGGCCAAGGTCTCTAATCCTAAGTCCAAGAAGTCCAATGCTCCATAATGCCAAGGATAGTAACCAAATAGTCCAAGTATCATTAAAGATTTTTATGATTCATGTTGATTATTAGGTGCCTTTAAAAGGAAAAGAAAAGCTCAAGTGAGCAAAATAAAAATAACATAAGAACAAATGCACAAGTGATCAAAATAAAAAAAAATTGCATGAAATGTAAATGCTTAAATTAAATGGTACATAAAGCATAAAAAATAAAAGCATAAAGTAAAGTCAATTGTTAGAAATTAGTGTATAGTTGGATGACCATCTTGAAACTTGCATTTGGAACTCATTAGAGGATTGGAAGAACCAAAGCCTCCACACAACAAGTTGCATTTGCTTTTTGTCAAGTATATCATCCATTTTGGAATCCTCAAAAGTAACATTTAATGATCAACGATATTTAAGTGATCCGCGTTGACCAAAGGTGTTGTAGATCCATTAGAAGATTGGTAGAATCAAAGCCTCCACACAATGAAACTCAAGGTTATTGGATCAAAGAGATCAAATTAACATACTTGGGCTTGCAATCATAAGTTTGGGTCACGAATGATCATTTATTCGAATCGGAACAAAATTTAGCGCTATGTTTAGAAATCGTAAGTGGACTTATGTAGAAGTCGCACCTATTTTGAGGCCGGTCAATAGCAATCTATGTACTTCATGTTTGGATAAATGATATAGAGATCACCATCCCTTAACATATAGCACAATTAAAAAAGAAAGGGATAAGATGAAGAGGGAGGGGAATGATAAGCTAATTTGGATCACCATTTAAAAATTCTTCCATCTTTAAATTCAACCACTCCTCAAGATGGATTAAAGCACTAAATATATCATTAATCCAAAGCACCAAAAATAAATTAAATAATTCACTCTTAGGTAGATTTGAATTGATAAACATTTATCCAACTTCATCTACATCACAAAGTCCATTGAGTTTAGAGACAAATTGGACATTTAAAATTGTAATCCAAATTATCCATCAAAGAGAATGAACAGAAAAAATATATGAGTCAAAACAACCCCAAAATAAGGCAGAAAAAGTATTTTTGGCACTGTTACAATCAATTGTGCTTAGACAGCAACTTATTGCATCAGTGCAGTTTTTTATCAAATCAATTTTCTGTGATAATCAATTGCAATGTTACAACAATTGATTTCAACCTGTTAGAAATCAGTGGAAAACAACATTTTAAAGATCAAATTCTTGTTCCAACTTTTCATCAAACACCTTATGATCATGGATCCAATTGAGCATGAAAATTCCATCAAATTATGAGAAAATAGCACTAATGGAATCATAAAACAGTGCTCAATGAATCAAAACTAGAAATCCACAAGAGATCACATTATGAAAGATGATGATCCAACTTACCAAAGGTAGAATTTGAAAATTATCAAACAACTTCCAGAATTTGCTTCAATTCAACCACTAGAATCAATTATCAAAGCTTGGATGTAGAGAATTAATGAAGAAAAAGTATTTGGATGAAGGTTTAGCTCAAATATTAGTAAGCTTCAATGCAAAGCTTACTATCCTTTTTTGAAAATGGAGCTTTGAGTGAATTTGATAGATGGAGAGAATTGAGAGATTTTTTAGCAAGATGAGTTTGGCTATCCAAAGCTTCTGATTTGAATGAAATGAGGTCTCTATTTATAGAGTTTTAGGATTGGGATTAGTGGTAATTTGGTAATTGATTCTTGGATCCAAAAATTGAATTAATGATATAATTTCAAATTATGCCGAAAAAAATGGAGCCAAAAAGATAATAGTTTGAAATTACTGGATTTTTTCAAAAAACATGTGCATTTTGCTGTTATGAGTCGATACATGGGTGGTATGCGTCGACACATTCTAGAAGTATAACACAGCATGTGTCGATACATGCCTCTATGTGTCGATACATACTGTTATTTCAACTCATTACAGAATCAAACAAACTGCATGAGTTGACACATAACATGTATGTGTCGACACATCCTAGTTATACAAACAAGATGAGTCAATACATACATGCATGTGTCGACACATGCTAGTTATTCAAACAGGATGAGTCGATACATACGTGCATGTGTCGACACATGCTATTTATACAAACAGGATGAGCCGATACATACATGTATGTGTCGACACATTCTAGTTATTCACAATAAGATGAGTCGATACATACCTTTATGGGTCGATGCATGTTGTCTTTCGCCACAAACAGAATCAAATCAACTTTCATGAGTTCGACACAAGCTTTATGGATCAATACAAGCTGCCTTCGACACAATGCAGAATCAATCAAATTGCATGCGTTCGACACAAGCCTCTGCGAATTGATACAAGCTGTCTTTCCACACACACAAAATTGATTGCTTTACATGAATTTGACACAAGCCTCGGAAATCCTTATTTGTCAGATGCTTCGATTTGGTGCCTACAAAACAAAAATATACAAAGACAAAGACAAATATTTTTGTATTTTGATTAGAAGTTAGTCAACAACACATATACAAAATACACAACCAAGGTGCTTGGAGATTCCTTAAGAGCAAACTTAAAGATAGGAGATAGAAAAAGAGGAAGAACCATCCCTAATGTGATATTGTTATGATCAAGTTGACATGATATGATAGGGGAATCTTAGGGGCAAAAATTCGGGTACAACACATGTGTACACTCAACTCATCCCATAATGTTTTCATTTCTATGAGGTATTCAAGAAAAAAATTGGAACCTTGTTTTAGAGAATTAAGTTGTTATTTAAGTGTTGAAACTCGAACTCTATCAATCTTTAAAAACCTTCCTTTTAAGTTATCCTAAAATTTAATTACATTATCATGATATAAAATTGTTTGAGTAATAGATTCAGAAACAAAATTTATGATATGTTGGGATCATCATCATCATCTAGTATAGGTTCTGAGTGATAAACCATGGAAATTTTATCTTTGCACCAAGAGTTTTTCACATGGATCTGCTCCAACCAACATAATTGGTGTCATCAAGTTTAAGCGTGACTATGACTGGATTCAGGCAATCGCTTGAGTGAACATAATAAACAGAATGGAGTTGCAGTTGAATTGGGATCATATTTTCATTGCGAGGTGGTGTCATATGATCAGAGAATGGATGAACAATCGAGGAAATAGAACTGAATAAATCAGTTAAAATAATCAAAGAAGATAAAAAACTAAAGAACAACAAATTAGTTAAAATAAAGAACGAATCACAAAATAAAAAAAAAACTGAATGATTTACACAAGATAACAACAATATTTCAGTGATTGATTGATCTTGATGAAGAAATTGTAGCGTAATGCATGACTGAAAAAGAAGGATCGAAATTGATAGAAGAAGAAGATTCAAGGTGAAACTCTTTCATGATGGCTCAAGATACCATAATATAAAATGTGGATAATTCTTCATTGAAGTGAAATATAGATTACACATTCTTATTTATATAATGATGAAGCACTATGATAACTAACCTGAGAAGTGTTAGGAGTGGCAAACGGGCATGCCCGCTTCATTTAGCCCCGTCTCGTAAAAGTCCGCAAAAAATGGGGCGCGACGGGGCAAGCATAGTTGAATATGACGGCCTAAAATCTAGGTCCGTCTAGCAAAAAAAAAAGAGTGTGGGATAGAGAAAGTCTGCGAACACTACACATTTTAAGCCTAAAAATATAAAATTTTATGTTAATGTTCGTCCCTGCAAAAATCCGCAAAAAAAAAGGCGGAACTAGACGATTACGTTAGAGAGTGAGAGTCTAAATTCTTAGTCTACCTCAAACTAAAGTGCGAGTAAAAAAGACATTTTTCCACTCCGTAAGAGTGATAATATACAATAGTGTATCATCTAAATTATCATTAACTACTATTTTCCATATTTAAAAAACTTTACAGTAGAGTAACCAAACTATGTATATAATAAACTATGTATATAATATATGATATAAGCAAGTTAGTTAATACCGTGATTCTAGTTGATTATTGTTGTATGATATGTCAAGTTAGAATTATTAAAAATTAATATGAATTTCAAATTGACCATCAAATTCATTTATTAAAATGGATTAAAAAATCATCGTGAATATGTGTTTTTCTATTATTATAAATACAAAATAAATATTGAAAAACACATACTATCGAAAAGCATAAAAGTGCTACGTGACATTTTTTTACCTCATGAGTCCCTAACCCTTTTACTTTGGTGAGTTCTTCCATTCCCAACTCAATATTCAATGCAATTCATCATTTCTTAATTGATTAATTTTTTGTTTGTCGTTGAATCACTTTCATAGATCATGTATTACTTCTTGAATCTTGCATGAATGATATATTATGCATTCCATTCAATTTCATGAATGAGTTGTTTATTTGGGTTTCATCTGGATTTGTAAAACGTAAATTATCTTTGTATTATTTTATAATATAATGTGATCTTTTAAAATTCTCTTTTATTGGACATGACTATGATTATTACATGCATACATAAATACCTAATATGTTTTCTAATTCTTGTATGTACATAAAATCAGTGAAAGCTACCCGCCTAAAAATGACGGACATAGAGTCTGATAGAATTAGTTGCTTGTTGGATCAACTTATAGACAATATTCTCTCATATTTGTCAATTAAGGAGGCAGGGAGAACTAGTGTTTTATCCCGCAAATGGGGGAAGAAATGGTCCACACAACCAGATCTTGTGTTCGATAAACGAAGTGTATCTACTTTGGCTCTGGAAGACCTTTCAATTATACGGCGCAAGTTTTTGAGGATGATTGATCATGTACTTTTACTTCACTCTGGCCCAATCAACAAGTTCAAGCTCTCCAACTCCGGTTCTAATATCATGGATGTGAACTCTCTGGCTGATATTCATCGCTGGATTCTTCATCTAACCGGAAGGTCTATTAAAGAGATTGTGCTTAAAATTTCGATGGTGCAGCGCTATAAGATACCTTCGTGCTTGTTCTCTTGTCAAAGTTTATGTCGTTTAAAATTATATTATTGTTGTCTTAAACCTCCAATGACTTTTGAAGGCTTTAGGAACTTGAGAGGTCTTGAGCTGGAATGGGTAACAGTGACTCAAGATGCTTTTGAAAACTTGATATCCGGCTGCCCTTTGCTTGAAAAATTGAAATTGATAGAAGTTGATGGTTTAACCCAGATTAATATTCATGCACCAAATCTCAAGATTTTTCACTTCTTTGGTAATTTTGAGGATATTAGCTTTGAAAACAGTTTCCAGTTATCTAATGTAATGGTTATTTTAAATATTTATGTGCACTCTGAAAGCAATCAACGTAGATTGCATGGATGCTCTAGCAATTTGCTCAAGCTTTTCGATCATCAACCTCACATTGTGAGGCTAGTGATTGGTGATTATTTTCTAAAGGTATAATGCTCACACTTTTAATGATAGACTCACCTAATGCGTGTGCGGCCCTTACAAATTTTACATGAACTATAATAAAGTCTATGCAATTATTGATATGTAAGTATTAACAACATCATATTCTGATTTAGTGATGGTTTATTTGTTTTGTGTCAGTACTTGGCTGCAGGTGTTGTGCCAGTAAAGCTGCCTACTCCTTGTATGAATCTAACATATCTTGGTTTATTAATAAACTTCATTGATTCGAAGGAAATTTCGGTTGTTCTTTGCTTGCTCAAAAGTTCACCAAAGATTCGAGAGTTCACAATGTTTGTGAGTTTTTCTTGACTTTACTTTTATTTATGATTTGTGGTTGCATATGTACTTTGGGATTTGCATACCTTGTTTTCTTTAAGCTTGTTAAGTGTGTAGTCTATGAAGTTTGTTTCTATGACTTGTACATACGAGTTACGGTTTCTAATGGAAGTTGTGAAATAGATCCAATTTTTATAAAGTTGGTTACATGATTAGTGCATTAGAGTCCTATAAGAGACAAGTGTGCATCATTTTTCAGCTTTTATCAATGAATACAATAAGTTTATCTTCATATTTATAATATGCTCTATATCTTCTATCCATACTATATTCCCCTTTGATCCATGAATTTCTAACAATTGCATGTATGTAGGCGATAGAGAAGCAGCCTGGCCTTTTAACACCCGCTTCATACTGTTGTGAAGATATCTTTTCAAAGCCAGACATCCCCCTCGGATTGCGATATGATAACATAGAGGATATCTCCGGTAACAAATTTGAATTAGATTTTATCAAATATTTACTTCTATATTCTCCTGTGTTAGAAAATATGATTGTGAAGCCTACTCAAAATGTTAAACCGGAGTTGATGACAGAATTAATCTGTTTCAAGAGAGCGTCGAGCCAGGCCGAAGTTATTTACCGTGGAAAAGATTCTTGATAGTAATTTTGATTCTTTCAAATTATGTATGTACTATGACTAAAGTTGAGTTTTTTAATGATGTGGCAAATAATGAGTGAGTGATAATGGCTATTAATTAGAGATATTGAAAAGCTATTAGAATTATAATGTAGAGCATGAACTGAGGCCAAACAAATAAATGAATGAGACAGAAAGTATAGTTGATGTATGATTAATGCAGTCATTTTTTAGTTCTGTTGTGAAATGCTTTTGATTTTAAATCAATGGTTAGAGTCATTCTCTTAACAAACTACTTGTTAGAATGCATGATTCATATTGCACGCTAAATGAATATTCTCACTGAAATACACTGCTGCATGCTTTCTTACCGCAAGGACAAGAGATTTTAATAAATATCTCAACCATGAATATTCAATTCACCTAAGATTCATAAATACAAAACTTCTCCCCACTTTGGATAAACTTACTCTAACATCATCATCAAGCCTAAAACACCACATAAAACCCTCCAAAACAGAGTTATCCTACTGCAAATAGATATTATATGAAATATTTAAATTTAAATTTCAAATTTCAAATTAATAGACATAATCATTAGTATTTTTTTAAGAGATAAGATAACCATTACTCATTAAATTTATAAGTTTTTTAAATTAAAAAGAATTTTACTTACACTCTTAAAACTTCTACTTACACCCTAAATTTCACTAGTTTTATCAAAATACAAAATAGCATTTTGCACATATTAACTATACGATTTTTATAATTTCTTCTCTTAATTTTACTTTTTCATCTATGTAGCAACGATATTTATAATTACGTTTAATTTATTCAATTTTTAAAAATTATTATTAGTGTCACCATGTCAGTATCGGGGTTGTTTTATGCGTGTCAATGTTTCATAATTTTCAACCTTTTACATACTTCATTAATATTTAATTGTATAGGTGTTTATCGTGAAATTTGATAAACAACCTCTAGTTTTCCAAAACAAAGATAATTTATTGGTTACCGCAGAATCGACTAAATTGATCTTAAAACATGTGTCTAATCTTGTTTTTCTAGTGTTTCTGAGTATTTGTTCTATTTCAAAAAGATAAATATAACGAAGGTAAAAGTAAAGATAAAGACTTGAAGACAAAGGTAAAAAGGTTTTAAAGTAAAAATTAGAATGTAAAGGAATTCGACTTAAATTTAAATAATAGTAAAATCCCCTTCTTTGAACACTCGGGGGAGGACTTTCTTTTTGAAGGATTTCTTCATCCGCTTCTGATATACCTGGCCTTGGCACAAAGCTGTCAAGCATTTCTCTTCAATCAGATTGAGTTAATCAAGTCGCGTCTGTACCCACTCTACTTCTTCAAGCTTTGTTTCCATTAGAAATTGAAGTGATGGAATTTCTATTTCAACTGGGAGTACTGCCTCCATGCCATATACTAGTGAGAGAGGAGTTTCACGTGTTGATGTATGCACATAAGTACGATAGCCGTGTAAAGCAAAGGGAAGCATTTCATGTCAATCTTTGTATGTCTTCACCATTTTCTGAATGATTTTCTTGATGTTCTTATTGGCAACTTCAATGGCCCGGTTCATCTTGGGTCGTTTTGTACCCCACAATTTGCCCTCCCATTTTTCTTAAGACATGCTTTCAAAGGCACTCAAATACTCAAGATACTCAAGGATTGACCAGTCAAACCTCCTCCTAAGAAAGGGGTCTACAACTAGGGTTTTGAGTTCCTCAAAAAGGTTTAAGTTGCAAAGATCTCAAGTGGCTTTCATGGTTCTTCATAGGTCCTTAATAATGTTCATGTCAAGTTTTAAGTCCTACATCACAAATTTGCTCAATCAATAGCTCAGATGATTGAAAATCAACTGTATTGGTTAAAAAGTCAAACGATGTCAACATATAGTCAAACTTCAAGATTTTTGGTCAACATTAACATTTTAAAGTGATATTCATCATTTGATCAAGAGTTGATCATGATTCCCCAAGGAAAGCTCTCAAATCATCAAAAGTCAATAATTGTCAAATTAGGGTTTACTTAGGAGAAGTCAAATAAACTTTGACCAGACATAACTTTTACATACTTCATCAACTTTTCCCCAACCAAAACCCCTTTTGAATAAAATTCAATTTCCTACAACTTTGGTTTTATACTCAAGTCAAAAAATGCTTCATTTGAAATATTTCTTATCGAAAGGATTTCTTCATCTGCTTCTTATATAATTGGCCCTGGCACAAAGCTGTCAAGCATTTCTCTTCAATCAGGTTGAGTTGATCAAGTCGCGTATGTAACCACTCTACTTCTTCAAGCTTTGTTTCCATTAGAACTTGAAGTGATGGAATTTCTATTTCAACTAGGAGTACTGCCTCCATGCCATATACTAGTGAGAGAGGAGTTGCACCCGTTGATGTACTCACAGAAGTATGATAGCCATGTAACGTAAAGGGAAGCATTTCATGTCAATCTTTGTATGTCTTCACCATTTTCTGAATGATTTTCTTAATGTTCTTATTGGCAGCTTCAATGGCCCCGTTCATCTACCACGTGAATCGAGCAAAAATGATCAACATAGAGATTGTACAGGACATCTTGAGCTTTCCAAAAAGTCCAATATCATCTTTAAAATATGAAAATTGAGCAAGTTATGAGTTGCACAAGTTGGTAAATTTTGAAGAAATTCATGAAATGCAAAATGAGCAAAATTGAAGTTTTGAACTAGTGGGCCTAACTTTTGATGTTCAAACATGTTCATAAGGTGTTAGAGGACCTCTAAATCCATTCACATATTTTTTTATGATTTTTATTTCTTCTATTTTAATTTTTATTCATTTTAATGCAAATAAAATCAAATAAAATATGAAACAATGGTATAAAGGCTTAGGCTTTTTGTTTCAACCATCCAAAGACCCAAGATAACTCATGACAACTCATTACAACCTTTCCAAAACGTGCAAGACTCAAAATGGAAAAGAAATAACTCAAATTGGCAAGTTTTCAAAAATTGATTCTTGTTTAAACCATGGCTTCATGAGTAGATTCCATGCCATATTTGTCAGCCCAAATACAAGCCAACAACATTTCCAGATTCGTGCAAGGCATCCAGGAGACAAGAATCATGCAAAGAAGGCAAGTTTTCAATGTGTTGGAATATTGATTTCATGTGCATGAATACCTTGTCCCTTTTCCATACTTGTTAGCTCCTATTTCATTCTCTATATAAAGGCAAGCAAAGCCATGCCAAAGGACCATGAAATCATTGTACAAAAATCTCTCCAAAAATTCTCTAAAATTCAAAGAAGTTGTGAAAATTATATCTCACATTTCCAGCAAGTTCCAATCTGAACCAAGGCTAGCATTCACCACCTAAAGACCAAAGGAGTTGATCTAGATCCATAGTTGTACTCCTCGAGCACCAGAATACGACCTATGCATCACGCCGATTTTTGAAATTGGTAAAAATCAAAACTATGTTTTCTTGCATTTTTAATCATTACTAACATGTTTGATCTCCTCTTATGCATCATTAGAACAATATAGGTACATTACATGTAAAGTTTAACGCAAAAATGGTGTTTTACCATTGTTAGGGCGTCGAAGCCATTGATCATCGAACTAGACATTGCAAGTAACCTTCTCCCCTTGCACACCACATATGCTTTTCACAAAGCAGGCCCATAATCTTTTTTTTATTATTATTTTTTTAATCTATTTATTTTCTTTTTTTAATCACTTTTTTTAATAAAATTATTTAAAAAAAATAGATATAGATTTTAATTAATTAACTTTATTTTCATAATAAAATTAATTAATTTAATCACTTTAAGTTTATTTTATTAATTAAAATATAATTAGAATTAGGCTTTAATTATCATTCAATTATTTTTCTAAATAAAAACACCAAAAATATTTTTCATACTTAGAAGTTTTTTAGATATCTTTCCCTCTTCAATCTCCACGCGTTTATTTACTTTTTCGTATTTTTTTCAATATTGTAACTGTCTAAATTTTGTAATAGCTAATTAGGATCCTTTTACATTTTTATCCCCATTTTATGGTTTGTATTCCCCCATCCTCGAAGCGATGTAATAGCGTAGTTTAATTCCCGAATTTTATTTTCTGCCCTTATGTATATATTTAACTGTTAGACTAATTAGGCGTGCATGGCAAGAATTAAAAGCAAAACGCTAGAAAATCTAACATTCAAGATAAACATAATTGAAATACAACACACTTCACACACGCGCACCTCTAAGGTGCCAAGACCACTTGTTTCCTTCGGAAAACAAATAGTCACGTCTCTCGAACGTAGGAGATTTTAGCAAAGACTCTTTGGTTAAAAGATTATAGTCCCTCGATGACCCTTCAATGTTGCCTCGGTAAATGATCTTAGTACCTTAGGGTAATTTCTAAAGCGTCTTACGAGTTGCTCTTGTGACTGTACGATGACCCTCGCCCATCCCTCAAAACATCCAATGATGGGGATACCCACCAACTAATGGTAGGATAGCACTATCTAAAGGAAAAGAGGAAAAGAACAAAGATCTTTTAAGTAGGTAGATAGCTTGAAGTTGCTTGCTCACAAAACAAAACATATTTCTCACACATGCACTCTATTTTTCTAAATATTTTCAAAGACAAAAAAACACTTTGTATGCATTCTCAAAGACACGAGAATCATTACAAAGTTCGCCACACTAAGGCGTCTTTTCAAAAATATTTTCAAATACACTTACACTAAAAAGAATTTTCAAAGTGAGCTAGAAACTAAGAGCCTGTAGATAACTACGGATTGAAAGGGTTCTAACACCTTCCCTTTCCATAACCTACCCCCTTACTCAGAAAAATTATCGAAAGGTCTTTCCTGTTCTTTTCACCCTTTCCTTTATTGGATAAAAGAAAAGTCGGTGGTGACTCTTGTTAACCGCAACATTTACGATAAAATGCAAAACTAGTAAAGTCAATTCTCCCACCATATTACAGAACTGGCGACTCTGTTGGGGAAACTAAAAGCGG